TTTTTATCCAAGCGTGGTTATTGGAAAAATGGATAAATTATGCGTATTCAAAATTAAGAATGAGGCACCAGGTGTTTGCTGTGTTGGCGGAAAAATAAAATTTACAGAATTATATACCATTCCAATTGTTGGATCGATTGCGACAAAATTAATTGGTTATGAGATTTATTAGACCTACCTATTAGCAGAATATAGGCTAAGTTAAAAAGCGATATGCCCAAATACCAATCAATTGAATATTTGAATTGTCTGGCTTTTCTCAATAAAACTAATAAATTTACATAATGATAATCTAAATTGAATATCGTTGTAAGATTATTAGGTACTTAGTATATTTTAACCTTTATCTATGTATATGTATAAAAATATAATGCTCATGAATTGGTCAAAAATACATAATTATATTCATAATATAATCAAAATATTCACAGTAACTACATTTGAGATTTGCAAACCAATTTAAATTTTATTCACGTAAAAAAAAAAAACTCAGAAATAATATTCTCAATATAAAAATATAAAACAGTATGTTCAAATATTTTAAATCTTAAGTATAATTATATCATTTTAATTTATAATACTTGAGAAACGCGTACCGTCTATTAACTTTTTCTTTCTTACACTGGGGTTAAAACAATGCCACTTTGAGATGAAACAAAAAATGAAAGTATATCATTATAAACATATAGCTATAAAAAATATGGCTTTTTTTCTCAAATTTCGATTATTTAATTTTTATTTTATTTACTTTACCCTAAGTCGTACACATCAAATATTCCAACAAAAAAAAAGAGCAAAGCAATAACTTCACAAAGAACTTGAAACCGAAAACACGACTACATTTTTAAAGGCCACCGTATTGTGTTGTATAACGGATTAATGGAGGAAATGAAAAAAAGGTTTACCCACGTCTCAAAAAAAAGATACATTGTAATTAGTTTTTTCAACGGTCCGTTGAAATGTCTATTTATCACGGCAAAGGTAAAATGTTTTATATTTTTAAAACACCGAGACCAACATTTTGAGTTTTGACTCGAATAAATAAAACGAATTAAACACATAGTAAATAATGGCGAATAAGATTGAGTATATAATWATAAATTACAACAAAGCATGGTTATACCATCGAAAACTATTGAAAATTTTTAAAATTAATAWAAACGAATATAATTACAACAGGTGACAAAATATTACGCCTTGCTTCTACTACTCCTCCTCCTTATCACCGGATCTAAAATTAAAGCCGAGCTCGGACATTTGAAAAGACGCCAACTAAACCCACCCAACATAAAAAAAATAAACAAATGAATAAAAAATTATAATCACAATAATAATACATCAATTAAACGCACCACAATACAGACCGGAGATTGCTCTCAAACTGGTCACGCGCACACGACACGGGAAAATCAAAAACGGAAAATCACGACGCGAACTGTATGTGACATCGACAGTGGGTGAAAAAATGATCCGAGTGCTCCACGCTGGATGCGATTGAGCCTGTTGCCGCGACGTCGAATCGACTGTAGTCGTATTCGCCAACAATAGTGTTCGAGCGGCGGCGTTGGTTATGGGGCCTCGCAAACCCAACGACCCGACGGTTTCCGATCGACACCGACAGACGACGTTTACAGCAGCTACTACATATATACCGTATAGGTAGGTATATCGTATATATATATATATATATATATATATATATTACTAATAATATGTGTTTCACCTGCCACCACTAGGTTTTCCGTGGCTTACGATACTACATTTTAGCCGATGCGATCGACCGACATTCCTAGCAAATGTGGTTCAAAGAAGAATCATGTAGAACTTTGAACACTCGTGGACGGCTGGTGATATTTAAAAAAAAAATATGACAAATATATTATTATACCAGAAAAATAAATTYAAAATGGGTGAGCCAATAACAAAATTTGGTTTTGAGACGTAAAATAAGTGTATAATAGATTTACTTTTAGCKGCAAATCATATTTTAATAATTATGTAGGTATATGATTATGATATTTTTTAAATGTTTCATCATGAATTATGTACATTTAAAATAGTGGCAGACCGTGGTAAAAAGGTTAGRAATTTAAAGTATAATTAACCGGCTGATACTTATTATTTTTTTATGTATTCATTCTATATTWTGATCTATACAATTTATCAAGATATCCATAAAACACATGATAACATAACGATTGCTACGGATTGAGTTTAATAATTTAAAAACATAATAATATATTATATATTGTATACCTACCTATAGCAATAAACACTTGGAGAAGGGAGTAACATCAAAACTAAGATATTAATTGCACTAAATTTAATTTTCTGATATTTAATATAATTTTTCTACTTATGAGACAGAATTATTTAGATCAATACTTAATARGTTTAMTGGTATATCCTTACTTGATAAAATTTTCGAAATATTCCAAAAATTTTCAAGTTATTTGTAGACATTTGAAATTTTTAATCTTTTTAGTTTTT